ACCAACACATAAAATATAGAGGAACAACGAAACAGAAGATGAAAAAAGAAAAGAAACAGGAAAATGGGGCGTTGCCCTGTGGCTCAAAGGAGTAGGGCGCAGGCCCCATATGCCAGAGGTGGTGGGTTCAAACCAAGCCCTCAGCCAAAAACTACCAAAAAAAAAAAAAAAAAGAAAAGAAAAGAAAGAAACAGGAAAATGTGTGTTTCGGCACCACTCAACCCTACAGGGTTTAATAAATAGGATTTAGGTTGAGGAGAGTCTCCTAGATGACAATTAGAAGGCCACTGTGAATATGTTTCCGTAAGCTGAAATGGACTGTGATAAATATAGGTAAAATAGCAACTCAAAGTACTAGAAAAGAAAAAATAAGAGAAAGGTAAACATAGTAGTTAACTGACAAAGACGGGGTCAAATGAAAGGCCTCTCTTGGAAACAGGGATGCTGGGGGCAACTTTTGGACAAAGAAAGATTGAAGAAATGAGCGAAAACATAACTGAAAATGAAATACGGAATATACAAGGTCCACAAGGAAGAGTTAGAAAGAATTTAGGATTATTTCTAAGAAGATAAAAAGTGGTATGAAGGTAGGGAAAGAAAATGATGAACACATGGCTGACGGTCTCTATTTTCTTCATAGTTAGAAAGAGTATGCCGTTTGGGGCAGGGTGGTGGAAGATAGGGAGTAAAAAAGTCTACAGGAATGTGTGGTTAAGTGGACAGCACAGTTGGAAGGTTATGGAAGGTTAATAAGTAACTTGAGATAGCTAGATAATTTAGGAAAGAGAAAATAAGCCTTAGGTTTTAGAAAGAAAACTTTAAAAAACATTTATTTATTGTTAAATGTTTTATTAAGGTATTTATTTCAGAGGAAATCCTATGAAAGAGAATGCCATGTGATCACAATGGCTTGTGATTACAAAAATACTTTTTATTCAGAAATAATTAAAATATTCAGAAAATTTGTAAGAATAAAATATTCCAAAGAATACCTGTATACCCATTAGAGCTAGACTCACCCATTGTCAGCTCTGATATCTCTTTAACACTTGTATACGTGCACTCTATGTTCTCATACACACATACTTTTTTCTGATCCATTTGAAGGTAAGTTATATATGTGATTCTACCCCTAAATACTTAAATATATTATAAAGAATAGAAATATCCTTTCATAGTAATCAACTTCAGTAAATTTAACATTGATATTTATCTAATCTACTATCCACATCCCAATTTTGTCAATTGAAGCAAAAATAATCTTTGCAGCATTTCCTCCTCTCCATTACGAGATTCAGTATCAGATCAGGAACTGCAATTGGTTGTCACGTCTGAAAGAAGATTATTAAGATTAATTCAAAGAATTTGATTAACTGAATTTAGGAATTGAAGGAAAAGGATAAAAAATAGGTAATTCTGAGTTTTGTGAGTCACTGGAGAGATAAATACAGAATCATTTGCAGGGGTGTCCACTTTTATTCCCTTGAACACTGGAAGAGTAAGAGTTGCTTTGGGCCACACATTAAATTTACAAACACTAAGGAAAACTGATTAGCAACAATGAGATCTGCGCATATTTTTTGGGACATCTGACACCACTGATAAGCCAAAAAAAAAAAAAAAAAGTCCTCACAAAATCAGCAGACAGCTCACAGGCTGCAGGTTGGACATTCTACAGTAAGTTCAATTTTGGAAAGGTAGAAGTCTCAAAAGAAGAAGTCTTCTTTTGAGAAGACTAGATCTAAGTGGAGATGCCAAGAGACAGAACCAAAAGGATAAAAAATCCTGGAGTGTGAGAAAGAGGTCAAGGATAAGGTATATAGATTACTATATCTACAAGAAAGTGCTATTACCCCCAAATAGATACAATAAAAATACTAAGAACAAAAATTCAAGACACCCAAGGTTCACAGGAGTTAAATAAAAAGCAGCTAGCCAAAGAAAGTTAGAGGGAATGGTCCTAAGAAATAATAAGACCAGAAGGGAATTTTAAAAAGCTCACAAATGGGAAGACAGTTTCAAAGTATAAGGACAGCACAAATAACAGATTGAGACCAAAAATAATTATAGCATTTGATAACAGGAGTTTTCAATAATGACTTCACTGAAGTAGTCTTCCAGAATGACGGAAGGCAGAGGTTTGCCTCAGTCTATCTTTTATGTCTTTTCCTACCCACCTATTAAATATCAGTTTAACTATAAACTTGATTCCTTATGCTGGGATCAGATACCGTGCTAGTCCCCAAAAGGGAAAAATTAAGGAATACATGAATTCACAGATCAAGGACTTGAAATAAAGACAGCTCTTTAGTATATTTAGTCCTAGGTTCTATTAACAGGACTATAATCTTATTCCAATAACTAAATCTCCACCTTTATCTGCATTGCTGAAAGCAGATACCATCAGGGCCTAGAAATTGTCCCTGAGCAAAGAGAACTAAAACAGGATGTGGTGCTGATTTTATGTACATAGTTAACACACGGTTTACATGCTTTTTTGTTTATCCTGCCTCTACTTAATAAGCTCTCCAAAGGCAGAACTTTTGTCATCTGTCTTATGCAGTGCTATTGCCTGTCTTGTTCATCTGGGCATTAAATAAATATTACTGACTGGCTGAAGGAAAGCAAATTACAGAACAGAGAGTTTGTCAGCTTTTTTGATACAATCTTAGTCACCACTAATAAGTTCTAAGCAATTAGAAAAAGTAGTAAAAATACCAAAAGACGGATACAGATTAGGATTGCTAGGAAAATTAACATCTAAGAAAACCCTGAAACTCTGATGCTAGTGATCAAACCCCCTGGAAAACTGTAAGCACTAATTATAATGAGTATCAATTTGGTAATTAACAAAAAGTTTATAATTTTACAAAAATTAATAAAAACCCAAGAAAGATTTCTCAAAACCAGTAAACTGAACTTTACAAAATTCAATTTTCAAAGTGTACGTCTTTGGATAGTACTGATGGATATTACTTTCCATCAAAACGGAGAGGAAAAAATGGGAAGAAAGGCTAAATATGCAACAAAGTGATTTTCTAATGAAATATTTGGGAAATGATCTAAGAGTTGGTTATGATTCAGAAATTTAAGACTTAAACAGTAGAGGAAGAGATAATAAATTTGTATGAGTAAACTAATGAAAAGTTTTAACAATCTACTAGAAAAAGTTTATTTGCAACTCTGTATGTCTGTAAGTTTAAAATATTATTAACAGTTAGCACATTAATATACCACACAAGTACACCAAAAATTAATTTTTAAAAAGTTTATTTTAAACTTATAATATTATCAACAATGCTCATTATAGCAAATCTAGAAAACACAGAAAAACAGAATGAAGAACATAAAAATCACTAATAGTTCCAACACCCAAATATAACCATTGTCGGCATTTTGTTGTACTTTCTTGTGCTTTCTGTATGCGTGTAAATATAAATGTAGTAAACAAACTTCAATAGTTTTCCACATAATTCTGTACCCTGTTTTTTTTTTTTTTTTTAAATTTAAAAAATCCTCTAGGTTTACAGAAACTTTAATCCCATAGATAGTTTTCTTTAATTTTTGGCTGGGGCTGGGTCTGAACCTGCCACTGCTGGCATATGGGACTGGCACCCTACCATTTTGAGCCAAAGGCGCTGCCCCGTACCCTGTTTTTTAAATCTAATATTACATAATATTTTCCTATGGCAGTAGACACCCTTCAAAAATCATGATTTTTAATGGCTGTATTATATTCCATCCTATAAACAACTTGCAATTTATTCTGAACATGCCTGTTCAAAAATTTTAGTTTCTAATTATTTTTCTTTAGAACATTTCATAGAGATAGGATTACTAAATTAAAGCATATAAAACATAATTAGGGCACCTGACTGATAAAATCAGATTACTGACTTGCTCAGGTAAAACTAGCCTGTGGTCCAGGAAGGACCGAGTGTATGTCCGTCCCAGGAAATAGTGAATGGACTGCCTCTCTGACCCTTTAAAGTCCCCATCTGCCATAGCCCATGTGTGGATTTCTTCCCAGTCAGGAATTACACCTCACCTGCACCCAGGTGGAATAAAACCCACTTTGATCATACAAACTGGGATTCTATCTTCTTCTGGTCTCATGCCCTGGAATAATCTTTTCTTTCTTTCTTTCTTTTCTTTTTTTTTTTTTTGAGGCAGAGCCTCAAGCTGTCGCCCTGGGTAGAGTGCTGTGGCATCACAGCTCACAGTAACCTCCAACTCCTGGGCTCAAGCAATTCTCCTGCCTCCACCTCCCAAGTAGCTGGGACTATAGGTGTCTGCCACAACGCCCGGCTGTTTTTTGGTTGCAGCCGGCACTGCTGTTTGGTGGGCTCGGACTGGATTCGAACCCACCAGCTCAGGTATATGTGGCTGGTGCCTTAGCCACTTGAGCCACAAGTGTGGAGCCTGGAATAATCTTTTATCTTTGGGTCTGGAACCTTTCACTGACAAAAACTGCTTAATTGCTTTCCAGAAAGATAGTACCATTTTAAATTCCCTGTGAGATATATAAACATTTCACTAAAAGTTCTTTATTACCTTGTGAAATTTTTTTTTCCTCATTTAAACATTTAAATAATATATAATTGAAATTGAAATCCATTTTAAATAATAAGTATCTTAATATGTATAAATCTGGATAACTAAGTAAGATTTGACATAAAATGATTGCCTTAGAGATAGAACCAAGCAAATTTAGTAACTGACACACTGAAAAGAGAATCACAAGGAAAGGATCAAGAAGATATTATAACACTATTACAAGTATCACTTTAATCCAAATAGGAAACCAGAACAGAAATTCATACTCCTATTCAAGGAAATTATGTGTTTAAGTATTCCATTTAAAAAATATTGTAAATAAAAATTCTAAGATAACAGGAAAAGAAATTGAAGAGACAGTAAACTGCAACACATTCAGGTGTTAGGGAAAATGCTACATGGCTTAACTGTAAGATAAGAGGCATTTTTACAGGGTACAGTACCTGATTAGAACTGGCTTTTTCAAGTCTGTCAATCATAATTTCAAATTGCAAAGGCTTAATTTCCATCTTTCTGTTAAGTCTATTTAATAAAGTCTCATCTTCTGAATCCATATCATAATCTGGTTGTTCGTTGTCTAGATTAAAAGCTAGGAAAGAAAAGAAAGATCATTCAAACTGTGGAGAAATTATGAAGTAATACAGTGCTTATTGTGTTTGACCAAAGACTACTTCTAAATTTTAAAGCAATAACCAAAGAGGAACTCATGAATAGGTATGTAAAAATTAGTTTCAAGACTAATAGCACAGTGGAAGGAAAAACAAAATTTTGCTTTATGGATTTCAAGTTTAATAGAATAGTAAAAACCAATAAATTATACACGCCAAAATATAAAATAAAAACAGCAACTATAACAAAGATAAAACACATTATCAATATGGTAGTTTGGTAGCTTAATTAGAAACTATGAAACAAAATTAAGAATACAGAAATAAATTCAGGTACCTGGTATATAATATAAATAGTGCTTCAAATAACTGAGGATAAGATGGATTGTTTAAAGAAAAGGTGTTGGCATTAACAGATAAATTATCTAAAAAAATTCCTTTCTCCACACCTAACACCAACAAATGATATATTCAATAAAATCTTATAGTAAAAAATAAAACACGTAGGGTGGCACCTGTGACTCAAAGGAGTAGGGCACCGGCCCCATATGCCAGAGGTGGCGGGTTCAAACCCAACCAAGGCCAAAAACTGGCAAAAAAAATCCAAAACAAAAACATAAAAACACTAGAAGAAAATGTAAGAGGAAAACATATGGGCAGTAAACTCAGAAGCCATAAAACTGATTAAAACTAGACTCGATTACGTAAAATTCAGAAATTTCCACATGGAAAATTTAATAAACTAAGTCATAAGAAAAGAACAAACTAAAGAAGAAAGTAATATATCTTAAAGATTTCTTCTTACAAATTAGTAAGAAAAACTAGTTACTCAACAAAAACTGATAAAAGATAATTGGTATTACAAGTGGAGAATAAATAGAAATGACTTTTAACCATAAAAAGTTTATTTTTTAATGTAATAAGATAATAGGTTTTACTCCTCAAAACAAAATCTAAACCTTATAATATGCTATTTGGGAATGAATAGGGGGAGAAAGCCCTCTCAAACATTATAAGGAAGAAATTATAAACTGGTATTCAATTTAATTAAAATTGTATCATCTTGGACTTGGTAGTTCTATTTTTAGAAATTTATCCTATATATAAACCTATATAGAAACAAACACACATACATATGCAGGGTATTAGCTGTAACATTATAAGTAAAAAATGCAAAATAAGGAACATATGTTAGGATCAGATAAATAAATGAGGGTTTATACATACATGAAATATAGACTGAGGGAAAAATGACACTGACCTGTGTACACTGATATGGAATAAAAATGATCTTCATAAACATTAAATGAAAAAAGCTAAGGTGTAGAATACCATATATAGTACACTAAGATGTGTGTTTTTAAAGGGCAAGGATAGATATATATACACACATGTGTTTGTAAATGCACAGAATATTTTTGAAACTGGTAATAATAGCTCTCCATCTCTGGGTAAGGAAAACTGTGAGTAGTAGGGATTCAAGGATGGTGGAAGGAATTAAAATGTTCTCTTTGTTCCTTTTTGTACTGTTTGATATTTTATGTATGTATAATTATTAAACTGAAGGGAAAAAATATAGTGTCACATATGTGTTGAAATTACATGACAAGACGTTGGAGTAAGACAATAAAAGAGATACCAATAACCAACAAGTTGGTAACCTAAAGATGTCTGCAAATCAATGTGTAAATGAATGCCCTACGTTCATAGCCTGTGAAATTTTCTGGCATTCTCAGATTCAAGGTTCATAATACATTAATACAAACAGATGTGAATATTTACATACTTTTAGTGAAATCAATCCTACCACAGATAGTGCTGATGAACTTAAAATAAAGGCATTTATTTTGTAATCAGAAAATGACTACATCTCAAAAATCTGAACACTACCACACTGCTTAAAAAAAATAGCAAACAACAATAGATAAAAACAAAAATAAGTATTAGCTAATGTTTATAAACTCACATAGCACTTTCTATGGGCCAGGCAGTATTCAAGTCCTTTACACATACTAAAGTGTCACAAACACCCTATGTGGTAGATAATATTTTATATCCCAATGATTCTCACATTCTAAAATCTTAAAATGTTAACTGTATTTAACTTGTATCACATACTATAAAAATTAATAAATCAGAGGAGATAGTTATTGACAAACTAATGACAGATTATTTTGTATGATGATTTACTTAAAATATTCCTGAGAAAATATATTTTTCTTGTTTTTGATTACATAATTGTCAATAATCCAAAAACATGCTTGTAAAAAGTCAATCCAGTCCTCATCAGACTCAATGGCAGATGATATGGCTCTTACAAACTACAGAGGTTACTAAAAATTACTCTTCTTTCCACAAAGGGATATTTGTAAATGCACATAGTGAAAGTCTAATGATCTGCCTTTAGTCCACAGACTAACAACAATTAGCCAATAAAATCAGGTAGTTGATAAAAATGAAAGACATTTTAGAGAAAGATTTCAGAAAATATTGTGCAGAGCTAATCCAATATACTGAATTTCTAAGTTAAACAGAAGTTTTCAAAAGTTTAAGGGCAAGGGTATATATACAAATTGTGCATGACCATCTTTTACACACCTACCTAATCTTACTCACCTTTTGTTCCTCCACCTCCTATCTGCTCTATCTTCTTATTCTATTCTTACAAAAGCCAGCACCCCAGCTTGTGAGGCAGGGGAAGGGACAAGAAAAGCTGGGAAATAGTTTAGAAAAATTAATAGTGAGAATTGATAGGAGATCTGACAATGTGTTAAATCAGAACCAGGGCAAAGACTTGCACTAGCACTCTTTAAGTATTCTAGCCTAACATTTCTCCATTCATTCAAAAACTACACAAGAAGCATTATTGATTTAGGTATTCTGTTGCTTCCAAACCAGGTACAAGTGTTTGCCTGTACCTCTCTTAATCTTATAGTATCTCCTCGACCAGATAAAAGGATAAATTCTTCAAAAGCAGTGTTAACTTCAGTCATACTCGTATACCCCCTACGTAGGACTTAAAGAAAAAAAGAATGGATACTAAAAGCTGTTGAATAAAATAGCATTTTTTTTAAGTACTAAGAAAGGATTCTTTTAAACTACAAGCAGAATATCCTTTTTTCTTCTTTTAGAGACAGAGTCTTACTCTGTTGCCCAACCTGTTCCCCAGGTTGGAGTGAAGTGGTGCAACCATAGACTCCTGTAACCTGGAATTCCTGTACTCAAGACATCCTCCCACCTCAGCTTCCCAGGACTCAGGGTTATAGACCACCATGCCTGAATAATTTTTAAAATTTGGGGATTAGAGATAGTGTCTCACTATGTTGCCCAAGCTGGTCTTGAACTCTTAGCCTCTTGCCTAAGCTTTCCAAAGTGCTGGGATTACAGGCATGAGCCACTGCACTCAGCCTCAAGCTGAATGGTTTTTTGTAGACTTACTGATACTTCATTTTTTGAAACCTAGAAAACTTTTTCTTGCTAAAAAAAAACCTTAAATCTTACAAATACAAAGTTGGTTTCACAGACCAATCAACTAAACAAAACAAGTAATACCACTTCCCCAAAATAAAGGGGGGGGGGGAAGGAGACAGGTTTGAAAATTTCTTGATGCAGCAGACTAACAGAATTAAGACATGAACAAAGCTAACAAGGGCATGTGTCTTTGTGCACACAGAAGACTTCATGTGCTGAAGTCAGCTTAGTAGTATACAACCAACAATGAAAAATGAGGGAATTTAAGAGTGTGCATGGTCAACATGAGAAGGAAAAAGGAAATAGATCAGAAGTTCTCTGCAACAGCCGTAAGGCAGCTACCACCTCAGGAAAATTTGGTTGTACTCTACCAGGGAGAACAACAGCTTCTGTGTAGGTAAGGAAGTGGGCATCACCTGCTGTTTGAGTACAGAAAGCATTCACAAGTTGACTGGCTATAGCTTACAAAATGTATAGTCAGTCTAAAATTAGCTGGTAAAGTAAATATTACCTCAAATTAATAAAGTACCTTTCAAAGACCCTGACTTCTTGGTTCTTTGCCATGTTCATACACAAGTAAGCATGTTTATCTAATAAGCATATAAATGAAAATAAAGAGAAGAAATAATAGATTTCTGAGCCAAAAAGAAAAAAAAAGGCACATATTTTAAAACTAAATAAGGCTTACCAAGCATAGTTCCAAATGAGTAATCAGCAATTCAATGTGGCACATGATGGGCCCGTTACTATTACTTCATAATATTATAAATATGAACTACATACTAAATGATGTTATGCCATTACATATCATCTGTTAAGGGGAAATACTTATTTCTTGTATTTCTACTCAAGTCTCCAGGATGGAAAAGTATAGATAGGAAGGATACTTTCAGCTTCTCTTAACCTCTTTGTACTCTCCTGAGCCAAGAAAAGGAATGGCTTAAACTGACTGGTGAACCTGGGAGGAAGATCTAAACAGTTTAACATCTTCTAGGCTCTCTAGGAGCTCTTCTTCCCAGAGGCTGCATTCTAGTCAGCCTTCTACTATATGGTAAGCACAGGACTGACTCTGCCTCCATAGAGGGGGAACTGCTTTGTCAGTGACCAATCAGCAGTAGGTAAATTTGTCTAAATCAGGGGTTAAATATTAGAAAAGTCCACTGAAGCCAGATATCTGCATCTCAACTTCCAATACCACTTTTATTAGTCATAAAGCTGAAATTTTGTGTCTGTTTCTCAATTACAGTAGCACCTCTATCATTTGACCACACAAGGGACTACAACAAACTGGTCAACATATGGAGGTAGTCGACATAAGGAACTAGGCCTACTGTACTGATACATACATGTGGTACATGTCCAGTTTATAAAAATTAAATCTTAAGGAGGTTGATACTTGACCTTGGTTAAATATGGAGAATCTACTGTAGTCCCAAAGTAGAAAAAGGAAAGAAATGTTATTTCTTGGCTTCCTAAAACCCCACTATTACAGACTAAATTCAATCATTTA